AAATAAAAAAAAAGCATACCCTTATCCTAACCTAGCTATGCTTTTCCCTATCTTATGAACAGCAGCTACACTTTCCCTCCTCTTACTAAGCATGCAGCTTGAGAATGAATCTAAAATGGATGCTGTCCAGTAGGTGGGAGGGTCTGCTAGGGAGGCTGTGCTGCTAATTGGCTGGAATGTGTCTGCTGACTGTGAGGTACAGGGTCAAAGTTTACAAAAGTTTACGTCTTTTGTATATATATTCTTGGGCCAAATGCTCGCCACAATAATATATGTCTATATTATTGAAAAGTAGTAATACGCAATCTGACTTACGGTTTCTTCAGGTTTATTCTTTGTTACGGATACATAATACATGATGTTACAGGATAATGGACATTCAACAGCAGATGGTAATTGCTGGACTTTTGATGGGAGAGTTACATCGTTGTACAGAGCCGAGAGCCAAGACAGGACTAGACTGAGAGACCTCGTGTCCCTCTGTTACTATATAGAAGTGCTAATACTAACGTCAGCATATAACTCTAGCCATATAAGGACAAAACCCCCGAATCCACATTCCAGAGCTCTCGGACAAAGAAAGCCTTGTGACTTATTGATACCATCTGTTACTTATGTCAATCCACACATCCATATATATATATATAATCAATAGAAACATAGAATATGCAATATTCTACATTCCCTCTGTTTATGGTTTGTTTTAAAACCATAACACAATGTAATTAACCTGTCCATTCATACATCACTTGTATCACATTCATTGAGCATAGAACAAGATGAAGTCACAACTTTCTATTATATGAGAGTTCTTAGACGGTCGAGTTTCTATCCCTCATACTGCTTACTTTACTTCAAAACTCCCTCTGTTTCAACTATGTATTGATATCCATGTTACATCATAACTACTTGAACATAATATATACACATATATAACAATAATAAATGAATAAAATAAAATATTTACAAATGTTGATCCAATAAACAATAAAGCAATCAGAAAGATCTACCTGCTATGGTACAGTCGTATCTTTGTAGATAACAAAATCAAGATGATAACTTTCTAAATAATAATAACTGTGTATCACTATAATACTCCTACAGACACATATAGCATAGTATTTTCATTCTCAATACCTGATATTACTTAAGTACTAATACATGTATTACTATAATATCCTGTCCAATTATATTTCCATGAATCATATGGTTTATAGCAACCTTAAA